CATTGTTAATTAACCTGCTAATTTGTTGTTTCTATAAAACTCCCAAACGAAATTTCCAGATCTTCTTGGTATTAAAATTTCCAAATTAATTTAATATATCATATCAATATTGAAAAATTTCAGTGTGTCAGTATTTTCGGTAGCATTTTATCGCTAGTTTGCTGTTTTTGTTGTCTTGCTTTCAAATTATGCCGTTCTGCGTTTGACATGTGCCTTCTAATCCAACAAACCAACAATAATCAGTCCTCTAGTTTAAGCTACACTGCTATTACTATTACTGATCCTTTTTATAATACCCATGGTAAAGATTTCAAACTAATCCTAGATCTTCAAGTATTTTTTCAGATTGCAGTAGTGCAATTTTTTTTTAAAAACAGACAAACAAGCAAATAAAAGTACACTTTAATTATTTTAAAATAAATGCTTTACGAAGATGATAAGTTTTCAGGACCAGTGCAGCAATCCTACGTTTCACATCCTGTATACAATGGCAAATATATACATCTGCTTGTTTCTTCTGACCATGAGCAATACTTGTGGAAAATAATGATAATTGTTGAGATTACTGTACTGTAGCCTTATTCTCGTTCGTTTTGTCTAAGAGTTTCAATCTGCTCTAAAAGTAATGAAAGTCTGATAGTTTAATACAAATTCAGATTGTTCGCTTGTTTCCAACGATAAGTAATTCCAAAAAATCACATATAGTTTCCGCCAAAATTTAAATTTAGGTCTTAAAAAATTATAAGTAATAAATAAAGTTCTTGTTAATTTTATAAACTTATTTAATATTTTCTGTCATAATTTGATAAATGGTAATGGCACAGGTCAAATGATCACTTTTTGTCTGCGTACGTCCTTTGTATCTAGTAATTAATTACATTACGTTCATTATTGGTATAAATTTAATACTTCACTATATTTAATGGTAATAATTCCTGATAGCTTATTGCTAGGAGGTTACTTGTAATGTTAAAATAATATTTATTAGTTTAATTGATTAATTGTTTCTTCTGAATACTTTTAATAATAGCCCTTACTAATTCTAATGAACATGAAGAAGAGCAGTTTATTTTCAATCATAGTTTATAGCAACTAAAATTTTAGCCTTAATTTTTTAGCAGTTTAGAAATAAAATTATTAATTTTAAAGTATTAGCGGACTGATGAAATCACGAACGTTTTCTGAGTCTGAAATACTTTTCGATTTCATTCCAACATTTAATTGATTGCAAATTCCGTGTTGGGAGAACGTGAATCACGAGCAATTGTCTGTTTTTCTAGAAAAAATTTGTCAATGTAAAATTTCTGTACGTTTGTAATACTTTATATCAGCATTACACTTCCATAGGCAGGTGGATATGTTAAAAGAAAATTTTGATATTTTCCTTCCTATTATTAATATTACAGTAACACTTAATCATCAATATGTAATGTTTGTAAATTGGTTTTTTGGTTCATAATTTTTTTTTTAATTTTAATAAAATTTGAAAATGTCTTTCATATATTTGATAAAATATTTGCAAGCATTGGTAATTAATCTACCCAACAACAAATTCCCACCTTTACGTTCTCATTTTTAATCTCCTACGTGTGTTACAGAATGGTCCATCAATTATTTAGTAATTTATCACACTTTTTTATCTCAAAGTTGGTATCTCAGATATCAGAACCTTGACATTTGTCTACATTAATTGCATGTATAAAGTATTCTATCTATTGCGCTTTTTCTCTGAAAAAAGCTAAATCACATGGTTAATTTGTGTCGTAGCTAACGTTAAACTGTGGAATTTAATTTCCTTGTTGGCTATGATTTTTTTGAAAATTTGTAAGATTCATTCAAAAGCTGACCTCATAATGAGTAAAATAGTTTGATACTTTCAGAATTCAGTAAATAAGAAAGTTTTTCCATTGACCCTTCAACATTGCTCAAAATAATGAAAGCTGAATACTTTATAACTCAAGTAATTGATGTTTGGCTCAAAATTTAATAAGAGTGCTAACATATTGTACAGTCGATGAAGATTGTAAAGTATTTTAGCATTTGCTTAGGGGACTTTTATTTGTTTTAACAAGACAATTTGACATATATTAACGGATGTTTAGGATTAAGCTTGAAGAATAATTGATGAGTGATAATGGATAAAGCAGTGTTATGATAAAGAAAATCAAGAGATAAATTGCATTAATTGTGTTTTTTTGGGGCAAAAAATTTACAAAAATCTGCTTCAGTTACATATTCAAAATTCAAACTGCCTTCTTCTTGAATGATCATTGAGAAGTAAACAGAAGGTGCGATTAAGGCAAAAATACTCTGAAAAAATTATTTCAAAAACATTGCTTTGGTATAAAGTAGTTTGATTAGTACAAATTAGTTGCACAGTAGAAAAACTGTAACTTTTAACAACTATACGATAATGATAGAAGAAATTCATTTAAAAGATATAAAAAAAGCAAAATAAATGAGATAAAGGACTTATAAAAGTAGTACTGTGTTTTTGATGGTAATAATTTGAACAATAATTGCGTGGGATTACAAAAGAGTTCAATAGTTAAATGTAAAATATACGGTAGAATTCAAGAAAACTTGCATAAATTAGCAAGTGTTTTAAAAGTACCTGATATATTAGTTATATGCGCGAATACTTCAGAGGAATATTTTTGTAACAAAACTTCGAAAAATGAATAAATATTAATTGTACAATTTCAAAAATTGCATGAAGGAAAGAAATAAGTCAGCGAAGAAAGGTTAAACCATCAGAAAATGTTTATAAGTTCTTGCCAAAAAGACTTGCATAAAAAAGTGGTCCTAAAGTATTTTATTAAGCTTGAATTTCAAATTGAATAAAGAAACGGAATTTATTTAAAAAACAATTGAAAGAATTTTTGAGTCAGAATTAATTATTGCCTTTGGTTGTGCATTAGTACTTTCAAAGTTGCGCAGAGGAATATTGCATATAAACGAATTTTGTCAGAATTCAAAATACTTCCAAAGATTGCACAAAAAATAACGAAAAGACTGGCATGTGAGGTGGTAAAAAGGGAATTTAAAAATGATAATAAGTATTGAAAAGAAATTTTACTTAAGTTTTCACTACTTAAAGTAAAAGAAACGTCAAAAATTAATTTCTTGTTAAATATTGTATTTCAAGTGATTTTAACAAGAATTAATTTAATCAAACGTGACCTATAAGGTCATCAGAGACTCAATATATTATTTGTAGAAATGCACTTGAAATGTCATTACCATTAACTGTATTCTGCTTTTATTTCAGATTTTGAAAATAGATATTAATAGTAATAAGATATCATAGTGTGTATTATCTGAAATTTATGCATTTATTTACTTTATACTTTTAATTTAGATCGCAGCATGCATGCATTAAATAAAAAATTGCACATTACTGCTGAATATTTTTGCTCGTTTCAAAGTTTAATATGTATGTAGTATATATGTGAATTTTCAAAAAATTTGTTGCAGTTCTTTTGATTTCTTTTTCACATTTAAATCTCAGAAATGATAAATATACTTGAAGAAATGGACAAGTATTCAAAAAAGTTGCTTGCTAAATTTTTACATTTGCTTAGAAATCAGTAAGTCATTTGATTTCCTTCAGTTTTGTTTACTTCGATAACGGATTCCGTAAATAAAACTAATTTTATCGTAAAATATGCATCCATCCATAAATAAGCATTTACTTGAAGACTTTCTGTTCATTTCAAAGAAAATACTTGCATATTGATATTCTGGTATCTTATCTCTTTATCTGCTGAAACTTAATCGACCTTTGACACTTACATTACTAACATCTTCAGTGTATAAATTGACCTTTTCTCCTCTGACATCTCTCTTCTCGACCTTTTATGCTTTGCTGCCTCAGTTATCCTTCCCTGTTGTCAGCACTTTCATTGTTGTCGTACTATCTTCATTAAACTGACCTTTTGGACATACATTACATTTTTTTCTTGCATTGCTTCAGCATACTTGGCAACTACGTTTATATGTATATGTTTATATATATTCTTCTCTGACTTCAATAATTTGGATTCAGAATCGAATCGATACTGTCTTCAATTTTTGTTCAATGAATTCCATATTGTCATAAAACTTCAGTCTTTATTGCTCATCAAATTATAACCTCAAAAATTATCACATTTATAGCATTAAATTATAGATGGATATGATGAGTGATATAATAGTTACTAAATTATTAGTTAATCATTTGCATCTCTCGTTATATGCCATCTTATCACTAAGCTTTTTTGTTTATTTGGTAATAAACGTTAACTTATCAAGAACAAATGCATTATCCACGTGAGTGTTATTCAAGCCATTTCGCGCTGAAACAGAAACTCTATTTCCAAGTAATAAGAACAAAAGTTTAGTAGCGAGAAATTACAAAGTAACGATCCATCTATATTGCTAATTAAACATGAAAAGACATTGGTACTATCGGCAGCAGTTGTGCTTGTGCTTGCTATTATTGCTCTGTGTGGTCGAGGAATGTGAATGCAAACGTGGTAGTGTATTTACTGCTAGTCGTGGTTCATCTGGTAGCCGTCTTGGAGCTTTGCACAAAAATGATGATATATTCTCAGGTACCAAGCGAGGAATTTTTAATTCTAATAAAGGTGTTCATGGTTCAAGTAGTGGTGCTTACAATCTGAACAGTTACAACCAAATGTCAAGAAATGGAATGCGTAAAAACGATAATGCTGTAGGTAGTGGATGGAGTAGTAATTCAGAAGGCAGTAAATCACGTAGTCGAGGCTTGTAAGTTTTTAAGCAAAATTTGTCAAGAAATGACACTTGTCTTTTTTCATGAATATTTTTTTACAAGCTAACATTTAAATTTAATTAAAATATGATTTTTTTTTCAGATTCACAAAATCAAACATTGGTTCATTTATTGCTGGTGCAGGAACAGGTTATTTAACTCATAAAGCTGGTAGAGCACTGATTGAAAGTGCCAATATACCCATGATGTCCGTTCCTTCGTTTTTTTTAATTACTTTTAAATTTGAAATAATATTCGATAATTTAATGGCAGTTGAAAGTCATACAATTTTCGAAATTAAAAACTGTACAAGTGAATGCACAAAATTATCTGATTAGTAATTCCTACAAATTGCATTTTATTTTGAATCAAATAAATTTAATTTTCAATAACTGATAAGTATGTGAGGATCATATCTTTCAGGTGGAATAATCGACCCTATTATTGGGACTCAAGCTATTACAAAAGTAATAAATATGGTTCTCATATGTGTCATGTACATGTCGATCCTAATGATGAAGATTTGGGTAAAGTGTATTTTCAAGATGGTACCAGACCGAAGGAGTTAGTATGGAGTTGTAATTATGATGAATATTGTTGTGGTTATGAATGTTGCAACTAAACTGTTAGCTTACTTTCATACTGTATAATTCGACTTGAAATTAATTATTCTAGGACATATTAAGCTTATATTTCCTAGAGTAATTATATCAAATATAAATTTTAATTCGAATAATTTTTGGTATTCAATGCTTATAAGGGAGAAAATGTTAATTACTTTTGTTGCTATCTGTAATTCATATTAAAATTTATATTTTATAGTCCTTTATTTTCTTCGGGAATGCTTTTCTTTATTTTTTTCTATACCTTCTCATTTTTTTAAATCAGATTTTTGCCATGGAGAAGGGATTATGATTAAAAATCATGAGACATTTTATGAACATATTATTAATTTAAAGGAATATGCAAAGTAGTTGGTATGTCATTTCCATTTTCACTTTTGTCTGATTTTTTTCCCAGTGAGATTATTTGACAAGTATATTTATATGATATCCATATTCAAATTTGCAACGTTTGAATGCACGTCAAAAATCATTTGCTAATTTTCATGAAATAACTTTTGTAAATCGAAAATTTCTATCAAGACTACTGGAATACTTTATTCATTAAATAAAATCATGATATTATCCATACCTCCCTCAATTTTTTATTGTCGTTATTTGCAACTGCCACACTTACCACTAATTATAAGGCTTTTAGTCTAGACTAACCAAAATCAGTCTAGAAAATTAGTGGAAAACTTGCTCACGATATGTTTTGTTCTGCGAAATTTTACTCATAGTAGAAGAAAATGAAAAAATTTTGATCAGTTTTTTTGTTTGAATATTTACTTTACCTATGGTACCAGAAGTTCATGTACTGTAGATTATGGCAGATAAAGATAAACTAGTTTTCTTTCGCGTATTTTAAAGTTAATTCTTCATAACTCTCTCATAATAGTTTTCAAGAAAACAATAAAAGTTAATTATTGCAATGATAATTTGAAGAAGCAACGTCCATCTGTAATTAAACTCATTTACGCAAGTCTTTTATAATAAGCTCAAAATTATTCAGAAATATAATAACATTCAACATACGTAAAAGAAATAAGGAAGGAATTTTTGTCATATTTTTGAGTATAAATAAGAATAAATAAGAATGTATTTATTGTTTTTCTATAACAATTAAATATGCGATGAATAATACGTCAGAAATCTTTCGCGAAATATACTGAAGAACATAACAATGTTAACGAGTATTGAGAATATATATATTTATCGAGCATAAAGAATTCAAACCTCTGAAAAACGCAACAAATGCAAATTAGTTTTACAGAATGTCATCAATGAATTCTGATTCCACCATTTAATTAAATGCAATATTTCATTCTAAAAGTGAAGGCACATTTTACAACAATTATACATTTACACATTGGAATTCGATCAAATGTGATGTTTGATTCAAAATTAAATAACATTTTTAAGTAATGTAAACACTTTCAACACTAAAAATTTTAATCTTAATAGTATTTGGCTATGAAATCGTTTTTGATGTTGAAAAAATATTTAGTAATTTGATTAACTATTTATTTTTTCTAAATACTTTCAATAATAGCTGAAAATGAAGAAGAGCAGTTTTATTTTCAATCTTAGTTCATAGCAATTAAAATTTTAGCCTTAATTTTTTGGCAATTTAGAAATATTGGCGGACTGATGAAATCAAGAACGTTTTCTGAGTCTAAAATACTTTTCGATTTCATTCCAACATTTAATTGATTGCAAATTCCGTGTTCGGAGAACGTGAATCACGAGCAACTGTCTGTTTTTCTAGAAAAAATTTGCAATATTATGACTACGCCAATCAAAATTTTTGTACGTTTGCAATACTTTCTATTAGCATTTCACTTTCATAGGCAGTTAGATATGACAGGAAAAAATTTTGATATCACTTTACCTTCCTAACTATTATTAATATCAAAGTAACATTTGATCATCAATATGTAAGTGCTCTGTAAATTGGCTTTTGGTTCATAATTTTTTTTAAAATTTGAATAAAATTTGAAAATGTCTTTCATATATTTGATAAAATACTTGCAGGCATTGGTAACTAATGCACCCGACAAGAGAGTATAGCTAATAGCAAGCACGCTGAGTACTGCCCCCACACAGAAGAAGCATTAATTGTGATTACTTTTGTTTTCATTTCTCTTTTACATTATGCTCCATCGTGTGAGATCAAATTTGATCGATAATCGATTGATTGCATTAAAGAAAATGAAAATTTAGCATAATGTCTTGCAAGAAACTGTTTTTGTTATTAACACAAATTTACATACTCACATTGCTTTTTTGTAAAGGTCATTTCATTTGTGCAAATCTTTTATTAATTATCAAATCGGTTTTGATTGAAAAACGAATTCGCAAATTGACGCATTGCAATAATTAATACTTTGTAAAATTGAAATTTTATAAAATTTAGTATTATTTCAATTAGTGCTAATACAATTGCTAACGAGTCTGTCACTAATATATACTATCAAAAATTAGTACAAATGCGAGAATTCTCTTTTATCTTTAATAAAAATAACTCATTTTCAATTAATTTAAAATAAAATAAAATATAAAATAAAATAAAAGTAATGTTTAATTTTGACAATATAGTACAAGGCATAAAATACATAGATGAAAGTATTTTGAGTGTTATAGCAGAATGATTTGTTATACAAATTCATTACGGCTTTGATAGAATGGGTGGATAAGCTAGAAGAAGGGATGGAGGGATGAGTAGTTGTGTGGAAGTTGCCTGAATTTATTCCTTCTCGAAGATTATTCCGCTCTCAAAATGATCTATCTATCTTCTTAGAAGAATAACACATAACTCTGTCTATCTGATTGAATGACTGAATGACTGAATGACTAAATCAATTAATGAATGAATGACTTATTTTCAGTCTTATCTAATTGCTATTTATTATTATCATTTCTTCTGCAAAACATTTATTTCTTCATTATTATTTTCATTGTCTTTACTATTCTCTGTGTTATATTGATTCTACATGCAAGTATTTTGATAACAAATCGTTAATTTATGCAATTTTTTTGATAACAATACAAAATTTTATCACATTTTTCAGAGTTTTGTATGAGATTTGTATAATTTAAGCTATAAATACTGAAAAATAAGAAAAAAAGTTCATAATTTTTATAGCTTTACTTGTTTGGATGTTCATTTAGTGATTACGTGATTGCGTGATTGCGTGAAACAATCGGTTTGTTTACATTTTTTTTTAATCTTTAATTTGCTAATTTTGTTTATTATTATTTAATTATTTTTAAAAGTTCAATTTCAGTAATGCTTACTAATTTTAATAGTCTGTGGTGCACAGTCCTAACTTTCATGTAAAGATTTAATTTGCATAAATTTTAATTGTCGTTACAAAGTTTATTGGTTGGTGATATTTTTTTAAATAATAACAAATTTTCTATACTAATTAATCTTTTATCCATATAGCATGGCTAGCAACTGTTATTGACATTGTGATTGATATTAAAAAGTCATTAAAATAGTAACTGCAACATTTATATGATATTTTCAGTGATTTATACTCACTTTCTTTGACTTTATTAACTTGAAATTTAATTAAACTAAATCACTTTATAACTGAAAGTATCTATATTTTTTGTGTATTACATAAACTTGAAATTCGTGAGGATTGTCCACGCATTAATAGGAGAAAAAAGTTTGCCAAGTCCTTATCTGACCTTTTGACATCATACTCTGAAGTCTCAGTTATCTTTCCCTGCCTTCAACACTCTCGTTGTTGTCAGGTAATATACAGTTTATATAGGTAATATACCTGTATAAACTGGTCTTTTTGACATTCATTACATTTTTTGTCTTCATTATATTTTTTGTCTTCATTAATCGAGCAGACGTGGCAACCACGTTTGCTTTGTATTTTTATTAAATTAATTTTATTTTGCTATTGCGAACACACATTATTTTATCAATAACGGATATGTCATCCATCTGATCTCTGTATCATTTTCATTCATACGTAAGCAGAAACGTAAACTTATACTGTTATGTCTTTTCAGGGGAAAATTAAATTGATTGGAACATGAAGCGACAGCGATATTTTCGACTTCAATTATACTTGCTATTAGTGTTATTTTTGGTCAATGAATGTGGGTGTAAACGAGGTAGTGTATTTACCGGTAGTCGTGGTACGTCTGGTAGTCGTCTTGGAAATTTACGTAGTAAGATGGGCGGCATGTTCTCAGGTAGCAGAGGTACTTACGGTTCTAACAGAGGTGGTTACGGTTCTAACAATTATGGGCGTTCATCAGGAGGTGGGTTTTGGGGTACCCGTTCAAATGCCGGTCGTGTTAAAAGTGGATGGGGCAGTAGTGCACGTGGTACTTCTTGGGGACAACCACGTGGTCGAGGCTTGTAAGTTTCATCAATCTTTAAATAATAGTTATCTTTGCATAGGCAGTATTCGAGTTTGTTGAAAAACGGTCTTACAAAATTTCAATATATTTACCATTTTTTGTGAACATAATTGTCACTTTTTAGCTCTCGAATTTTGATGGAAAACATTGGAATTGAATTAAAAATTTTTCAGATTCACAAAATCGAACATTGGTTCCTTTGTTGCCGGTGCAGCAGCAGGTTATTTAACCTATAAAGCTGGCAAAGCGTTGATTCGAAGTGCTTATGCACCTATGATGTTTGTTTTTTTGATTTTTAAAATTTCTCAGTTATTCGAAATAATCGTCAAACCTTTGTTTATTTATAAAGTTACCCACTCATTAAGTATGAATTCTATGGATTATACCAAAGTTTTTGTTTGCAACTTTTTGCGTCGTTTTACAATTCAAATTTATACTAGTAAGATTCTCAGGGACAGAAATGATTCTTTTATAATGATACGAAATGTAATGAAAAATATGATGGAGCTATTTGTTTGAGGTGGAATAATCGACCATATTATTGGGGTTCAAATTACTACCGTGGTGGTGGATATGGTACTCATATGTGTCACATGCCTGTAGATTCTAATGATGAACATTTGGGTAAAGTATATTTTCAAGATGGTTCTAGACCGAAGGAGTTAGTTTGGAGCTGTAGTTATGATGAATATTGTTGTGGTTATGATTGCTGCTTGCGTGGTGGAGCTTCAGGCTATTCTGGATTCAACTTAGGATATTCACTGGTCATCGCTGCTTCTACTGCTTATTGTCTTCGAAACTACTGAAATTTAAATAATTTACTGATCAGGGTACACAAGCAAGAAGGTATTATTTTTGTGTTTGAGTAGGGATAGAAAGTCGATTTTAGAATCTAATCCTGACAAAACATGTGGAGGATATTTGAATAGTTTTTTCTCCTTCCAAACGGTATACTATTTAATTGCTGGTGTTTATTATTATTTTTTTCATTTTTAGCGTTGATTTGTGAATGGAGAAGAGATCAGGACTGAAATTTGTAAAGAATTGTTTTCAGCCAAATAAAATTTTGACATTGCTCATCTTTTTTTTCGATTTTGAATCATAATTTGGAGGGATATATTTAAAATTACGTAGTGCAGTTCTTAGTATTAAATGATAAGGTTCCTCAATTTATGAGATCAGCTTGAAACTTGATTTCAAAGTGTTTTATTCTGTAAAATATTTCCTCACAGAAAATTAAAGAATGTTCACTTTTTCCATGTACATATTTTGCTTTATGTTGCCAAATGTTTATTTGCTGCTGTAAATTGTATTAAAAAAATTAATCATTGAGATTATCGAAATTTGCATTTCTAATACTTACTTTTCTAACATTTTGCAAGACATAAATTCTTAAAATCTTCAAAAATTCTAATTTCTTCCAATCTGGCATAAAGTTTTGAATAAAGTTTAGCAATAAATAACAGTAATTACTGCTGTTACCAAGTGCAAAATATTTAAGCATGAAATTCATACGCATGCATTAGCTATTTGTAATGCTAACATTCTTGTGTTCGCGTGTTTCTTTTTTGTATGCTTATATTATGATGTACAATACTCGCGTCTAATAAATATGAGTAAATCATGTGTCTTAATGAATTAGGATGCTCCATCTTTGTTTATGTCACGAAAACGAAATTTTATCTTCAAAATTTATCAATTACAAAACTTTGAATAAAAAAAAGCTTGTCTTAACGAGACAAAATTACTGAGGGAAAGCAATTTGTAGGATTGCTAAGCCTTCAGATATCATAAGTCAATGGAAATCACGTTCTTCTTCGATGGACTGCTTGTAATGTTAACACACTTCAATTTCTCATGTCATAGATACTGTTATTGTGAAATGTCTTGGTAATGATTGCGAGTAATTCACTGAAGTTTGTAAGTTAGAAAAGAGTGTTGAAGAACTATCACATCTCCTAAGTAAGATATCAACATTTAATGTTTTGGATTATTAGCTTATGTGTGCTAATTATCAATTTCCCATCCAACGCAGTTTACTCTTGATTAGCAAGCAAGTCACAAAAAGTCGAATTCACAACGCTTAGTCGTAAATCAGTTTGTAAGGCATATGAGAGAAAGATACAGTAATGCATGAACTGATAATATCATTAAAAAGATTATTAAAGATATTTTTCATTCATATTTCAAATAGCTTTCTATTAGTCTTGCATACATTCCACTCCTCTATGTGACTTGATCTCCCGATTTCACATCATGTATTCTTCAGAGTTGAATTCTTAAATTTCACTGTTCACGACTACAAAATATGTTATTTCTCTCATTGAAGTTGTCAATATGCAATGACATTTTAATTGCAAGTGCGAGCTACGATAAGAAAACAACATCAAGTAAAACTCAGTGATCATGGGAGAAATAAATAAAAATGATAAGCAAATCATAGTCAGTGCTTTACGTTTACATTTTTTATTCGAGACAATGCTTCAAAAATATAAATTATGTACTGAGGATTTTTGACAACTAATTTTTCGATCAGTCATCAAGAGCAGATTTTTCTGGTGGCGGCCCACAAGGTGCAACCATCTGATTTAGTAAATTAAATCGAACTCTAGCACGTGATTCGTTTTCACATACTGCTATCAAGCTTAGATGGTCAGGATGACCTGAAATGATATATGTCGAAAAATTTTTTGCTTCCTAAGTTCTGATTGAAAAAGGTTCAGACGTGAACCAACTTTGCAGTAAATATTTGTTTTCTGGACAAGATGATTCTCTCAGCATTAATAATGTGACGATGGACTTTACATTACATTATGCTCAAGAAAAATCAGCACTTAAAGAAACTCATTTCACAACTTACCTATCATAGAAGCATATGTGTCACGATGTTGATTGACAAGCCATTCCCATCGCGTAGTATCGGCGTGACCCGTACCAGTATATTTCGACTGTAAGTGATCAAGCTGTGAAAGGACATGGAATCGTTCGGTTGGTATAGCCATCGACAACTGAAACCTAACATTTGAAAATACACCTAAGTAAATGTTCAAACGAATAATCTTTTTTCAAAATTGCAACCAAAATAAATGCTCAACAAATATTCTCTTCAATCCTAATAAAAGAAAAACAAAATGAAAATAATTGCTCAAGTATTAATCTTGAAACTACAAATGTTCCGAAAGGATTCGACTGATATATATATATATATATATATATATATATATAT